TAAAATACAGTATAAAATGTCTTGACATCGCACAAGAATCTGGTGATAAAGAGGCTGAGATGAATGCGTACAAGACGTTAGGGGACGCCCACTTGTTCAAAGGCGAATGGGATGATGCTATAAAATACAGTAAAAGATGTTTTGCCATCGCACAAGAATCTGGCGATGAAGTTGCTAGCATGAATGCGTACATAATATTAGGGCTTGCCCATTGGAAAAAAAAAGAATATGACGATGCTATATCATACAGTACAAAACGTCTTACCATCGCAAAAGAATCTGGTAATAAAGAGAATGAGATGAATGCTTACTTGATGTTAGGAAATGCTCACTCCAGGAAAGAAGAATTTGATGATGCTCACCGTTTCTTTACAGAAGGCATGACAATAGCTAGACAACTAGAGGACAACCGTATCGTCTCCTATTTTGCAATACTTCTAAATGAGATTTATGAAATGGTTGGCACGTCTGAAAGATATAGTGGATTAGTATCACCCCCGAAAGAGTTTCTAGATGATGTTCCGAATATCGAACGTTTTGCCATTTCGTTTGCTCGCTACGAGTATTATAAAGAAAACAAAGAATACGAGGAAGCTATTTCATGTCTTGAGACTTGTATGGCGCTCGGAAAGAACAGTATCAATGATGCAGAAGATGTATATAGTGAACAATTATGGGTATGCAAGCATGCCATCTCAGAGTTGCATGTGTTAGTTGGGGACTACGATAAGGGTATACAGTATCAACAAGAAGCACTAGATGATGCACGCAAAGAGGGCTCAAGGTCCAAACAAGCAAAGTCCCATTTTAGCCTAGGCAAAGTCTATTATAAACTTCAACAGTATGAGAATGCAGAGAAGTCATTCAAAGAATCGTTAACGTACTATGAAYTGATATTTGTTGGTCTTAAGCAAAACGATCGTTTCAAAATAGCTTTCGTTGATCAATACAAAGAGACTTTCAAGMTGCTTCTGAAGGTTCTTATTGAAACAAATAAGAAAGAAGAAGC